GTCACTGATCCACCAGGTGACAATATATTATCACCTGGTGGATCAGTGACACATGAACACAATGATTGACAGTTTTCACCCTCAGCTGTTAACATTATTGATCAATAACATTTACAGACCTGTTAGTGCTTCTAAAGTTAGCCTATAAATTTACCAAGTGCTAATCCACTAAATTTTAAAATTGGCAAAAGCCCTAAAGCACTAATCAGGAAATTAGTTCCCCTATTAGTGCTTTAGGGGAACTGTGCCCACCACTGTTCATCTCTTAAACCCAAACCCCTGGTTTTTTACTTTAATTACTCTAAGTTATTTTAGTTAAACAGACATGTTTGGTATCTACAAAATCAGTTTTTTATTGTCATTAACACATRAAAGATGCAGTGCAGAATGAAACTGCAGTTAACACCTGTTTGAAGAAAGACACATGACAAACATGGGGGAACGGATGGACAGGTCTGGTGCAACATGGTCGTGCTCCCTTTTACAGCTTGGAAAATAAAACACACAARGGGCTAGGTGAGTTAGAGTTGCTCTGATCCTAAAACYCAGAATCATACGCACAAAAAACGACTCGCAAGAGCAGACGGCTAAGGAGAGGAGGGGCCTGTGGATCAAACGCGTGGTACAGGGGCGGGATAATACTCCGTGCTGGACCAATCCAAGACCAGGACCCGTCGAGTGCAGAAACCAGATCTTATCCTCCCATGCTCAGTTCAGTTTCCCCTCCCTCACCATCACCACCACAGCTTCAGACTGGTCCACAGGGAATCAAACCTTTTGTTGACACATCCTCCCAGAAGTTTTAATAACTGCTGACCGACCAAGGCCAGCAGCTGCTGGATCCAAAAGATAAACACAATTGTTTTGAGACAAACGGCCTCAAATTTCTTGCCGCTTTAGTCAGAATGGAAACGTCAGAATCTCGACTAAAATCTGGTTATAAAACAAAAACATTTCTATGAACACCTAATACAGTTAAAACTACAAGTGATTGAAGATAAAACTATGAAAGTGAGAAAATTGGTTTATAAAGTTGGCAAGTTAGATATAAAAATAATTGTGTGTGTGTGTGTAATTTGTTTTATCACTGCTTTTATAGGGTTCTGTATGTTTTCATGATTAAATGCAGTAAAATAAACTCATTCAAAGCTAACAGATGTTTGTAATACTTGGTTTATTTACATAATGACTTTATTTGCTGGATGTTCGGCCCCTCAGCTGCAGTAACTGTGGCCTCAGASCAGTTTAGTTGAACAGCCCTGCTGTAAGGTGTAAATCTAACAGCTCTTTTAACAAACTACAGTCCAGTGTTTGACCAAACYCCCTGAGTTTCTCGCCTCCTTGTTTCTGCAGATCTTCGGGATGATCTTCAGCATGATGCTGTGCTGCGCCATCAAGAGGTCCAGAGACTTTGTGTAAAACTGAACCAGTTTAACTCGCGTCCCCACACTTCCATCCTGCTGCTTTAGATGTGAAACCGGTTTAAGGTTTGGCTTCGTACAGGACGGCCGCATCAACCTGTGAGCGTAGGAAGCCTTTAGCTACGATGTTTAACTTGTCCACTCTGGAGGGTCTGCAGGGACCGGAGCTGTAAAATAGAGGGGCTATTTTTTTATTTTATTTTTTTTTGTACCAAAAATCCATACTTTTTATAACAAAACCTGCAGGAGAAATGAACACTTGGGTCTCTGCTGCCCTCTGGTGGACGCTTCTGCAGTTTTTCTTTTTTAAATCTCCCGTTTGTTTCTAAAAATGCACTAAAAGTTAGAGCTGTGGTCTTTATTTGCTGCCACCTGAATTTTTTTTTTTTTTTTTTGACGCTGCGTAATAACCTTGGATT